TTTGTCTGTATTTTCCATGAATTTGTCTATTTTTTCCTCATTTTTGTCTGCTTTTTGCTTCAACTCTTGGAGAATTCTGAGTATTAGAGATTTGAATTCTCTATCAGGTAGTTCTAGTGCCTTTTCTTCTGCTGGAAAGTCATCTGGTGTTTTATTTTGGATGCCTAATGGAACCATCCCGTCCTGTTTTTGTAAATGTTTTGATAATGTCTGCTGTCTTCGGGGCATTCAGTCGTTATTTTTCTCATTTATTGGTTGTAGATTTGTTTGTGTTTTCCTTTTTTTTTTTTATTTGGCTGTGTCTCTGCAGGCGGACTGTGTGTTCTTTGTTGTTTGCTCATCTGTGGGCACGAGACTTTTTGCCTCCTCCAATTGGCAGGGTCTGTCGCTCAGATATGGTACAGCAGGGCTGGTCTACCTGAAGAGGAGTTACTGGGATGGGTTGTTTGTGGCACTTACTGCAGCCACCAAGGCGGGTCGGTAATCAGTGCAGGGCAGGTTCCAGTAGGCCGTGCCTGTGTTGCTTGGTGGTGTAATGTTAAGCGCATAGTGCAGGTAGGAAGGATGTAGGGGGGAGATTGTTTTGTGTGGAGCTAAGATGGGTATGGGAGAGAGGAGAGAGGAACAGGAGTTGAAAACATACAAACAAACAAAAAAGAGTGCTAGGGGTGCTTGCTGTTGGAGTGGAGAGATGAGAGACTATGAAATGGAGAAAAACAAAAATGGGAAGAAGGAAAAAAAAAGAAAAGAATGAATAAATAAAAATCAGAAAGGAAAAAGAACAGCAAAGCTCCCAGGGATCCCACCGGTGCAGCTATGAGGTCCGGGCAAGTTGTTCTCAGGTGTTTCAGTACAGCCTGGATAGAAGGCATAGAGGTATTCAGCACCAGATATTCAGGGAACAGAAAGAGAAGGAAGGTATAGAGAGACAAGAAACTGAGTAATGAAGAAAGACAAAAAGGGAAAAAGGGGGAAAATAAAACAAAACAAATTAAAAAAAAAAAGAACCAGAAAAAGCCCCAAAAAATACAGAAAAAAAAAAAAAGAATCCCATCAAGAAAGAAATGCCCTCAGGGATTCCTCTGCGTGTCTGAGCAAGCCAAGGGGGTAGGTTCCAAGAAGCGTAGCACCGCCCGGCCAGAATGGGCTCCCAACTTAAGAAAAGGAAAAGAAAACAAACAAACAATTCAAAACAAACAAAAGCCCCGGATCCCACCAGCGCGGCAGCCCAGACGGGTAGAAGTTCCACACTCAAACGGAGCTCCGCTGCCCGCAGGAAGAAGCAAAGATGGTGCACAGAGCCAGGTATTTGAGTGAAAGGAGGGGGAGGTGGTGAGAGTTAAGGAAGAAATCAAAAGAAGCAGAAAAAAAGCAACAACAAATGGTACTCAGAGAGCCAGCCAGTGTGGGCAGGTGGAATCCAAGTGGCCAGTGCTTCCCAGACAAGAGACTGTGGCCACGGGAAGCAGAGGAGGCTGAGTGGGGGTGAAGAAGAGCAGGGGGTGTGAAAGCGTATATCGCAAATTACCAGTTGTTCTATCTCCCACTGGAAGCTCCGTGAAGCTGCTTTCACATATCCCCTATTTGCTGGTCTCTGATAGGAGTCCAAGATGGCGGATCCGGGCTGCATTAGCCGATAGGGGACCTCTGCATGAATCTCTCCTCGCTGTCCGTTCTCTGTCAGTTTTCTCACTCCATTGGTGCTTGGCTGAGTTCTTTAGCTCTTCATTTGATGTTTTAGTGTTTTAGGATTGCTGTTTTCTCTGTTTGGCTTAGTTTTTCATATCTTTGCTTTGGAGGGACGGCATGGTGCTTCTGCCTAGAGTGCCATTTGGCTGGAAGTCTCTCGGGGTAATCTTCTTGACAACCGAGAGTAGGCATGACTCTGAGGAACTACAAAGAGGGGCTAGAAGGCCCTTAGAACTTTATCTTCCTTCTTTTTTTCTTTCTTTACAGACATGCTTTCTCTACTGCTTAGTCTACATTGTGGAAAATATGGCTCCTGAGTTTAGCATCCCTTTCTCATATGAGCCAGTTTAGAAGACTCTTAATTCCAATTTAAAACGCTTGGTTGAGGGGCAGTGATTTGCTCAGCTTGGGTTAAGCGCTTCCTCATGGGCTTATCCATTATTATCAACTTGTTGCTCAGGTACAAACATAGATTGTAGGATTATGGCCCTGTTTCTATACATGTGGAGAGGGGTGAGGGGTTCTCAGAAAATGTGGACTTAGCAGGTAATATAACAAAAATACACCTTTAAAGGTACTGCATTTCCCTAATTCTAAGATGCTTATTTCTTTTCACACTATAGCATGAGAATAAATTCAGAGTGTGTCTTATAATTGATGGTATCTTACAATTATTGCTGGCCAGGTGGTCTCCAGAATTCTTTGTGCATACATTAACTTTTTTATTTTTTCATATATGTTTAAGTGTGTATATGATGAAGAAACTGTCAAAATGAATCTAAAAGAACTTTTTTCGCTATGAAACAAAAACTCTTAAGTGATAAAAACTGAGCAGCATGTTTTGCTTACTTTTTTTTTTAGCACATCGAATAATGATGTGTCTTACAATGAATGATATCTTAGAATCAATGAAATATGGTACTTAAGCACTAGGATCATGTTTTATGTCTTACTCTGTATATCTTCTCAACCAGTGTAATGTTACATTTGGATTAAGTATGTGTTATAAACGTTGCTATAGTGACTAAATTTTATTGAAGCAGCTGTAGCTCTTAACCATTATACCACCAGGATTTTCGAATTATAAATACTCAAATGATAAATAATTTTGGTATTCTCTTAATGGGATCAGGAAGACCTCAAAGAGTCTTCTGTTAAATTGTGTATGTATCTGAGAAATATTTTATATGTTTACAATATCCAATTTTTTTTAGAGCTTCTCTGGCCAGGTAATGGTATTTTCTTGGTTTTTAAAAAGGAATCCTAAATATATTTTATCTTTTCCAGGTTTTTCATACTTCTTTATGGCGTTTAATGAAAAAAATTCAGGCAGTGAAAACTTCTTCAAACTTAAAGTTTGCATTTCGTGCTCTGATTTTGGACTTGGATTTATTCGATTCCTCACTAGAGGAGGCCTCTTTGGGTACTGATTAATTTTAGATATTCATTTGACCAAGGAATTCCTAATCTTATGTAAGATAAATGATTTGAGAAAAATGCACTCAAAGTTTTTGTGGAGTAGGTAGAACAGCTCTGCATCAAGGTTGGTGCTATATTTATCATTATAAGTCGCAATTGGCTTGATGACAGTGGGTTTGGTTTTGGTTTTTGACCTTAAAAAATCCAAAAGTCACAACTTATATGGTATGATTTGGAAATTCTGGAAAGATCCTTTGATCCAAGTAACCTTCCTTTTCTACTCTTTCATTTTAATGTTCCCTTTCATTTTTGAGAGATCCTGGCTACTTTCACAAAGAAATCAATAGTAGTTTCACTAAGGTGTCAATGTGTTTCCCTTCTCCATAATATTTACATTCTTAGAAAAAGACCATTTGAAGCAGGCAATGTTAAATAGAATGATAAGTCTATCACTGTGGCACTTGGTATACTGGAGGGCTTCAGTGCTAAAGGCAATGAAATTGAGTAAGGGATTAAGTTTAACTTTCAACCTAGAGCAGTTTTTTTTCTTTCCAGCAGAATGGGTAGATGTTAAATATTCTTCACCTGCATGCGAGAGACAGTATTCTCCTGAGGAAGTAGCAGCAGCAGTTAAAATTCAGTCCATGTGGAGAGGAGCTTATGTTAGATTACTAATGAAAGCCAGAATTCCAGGTATAATTTTTCAACCATTTATAAAATGAACTTACATATATAAGAACAAATATTTGTTTTATGTGTACTAATTAAAAGTATTTTAGAGTCACCTGCTTTATGGCTTGGCTATTTACTTTTATTTCTATAAACACTGATATTCCTTGGGGACAAGAAGTCAGTATACTCATTCTTTTGTTCCCAGAATTTAGCACAGTGCTTGGCATGTAGGAAGCCTACAATAAATATTTACTGAAAGAATGAAGGACTGAATGAATTAATGAATGAATGTCAACAATGTTTTCCCAATCTATTGTGAGTTCTTTAAAAACGAGAACAGATCTTTTCCTCTCCACATTCCCAGGGCCTAGCAGAGCGCTTCAGCAGTCAGCTTCAGCTAAGTCATATATGAATGAATGAATGAATGATGAAGAAGCTTCTGTGCATGTCCTCAGTGACATGCATTTAGAAGGCAGAAAATGTATTTTCATGTGTTCTCATATGTATGAAATCAAATGTGTTTATTTATATGAAATATTTTGTATAAAATTTTAAAGTATATTTATCAGCTTAAAATGAAGTACTGCAGAGGTAAAAATTATATTCAGTCATTTTCATTCTGTGATTTTTGTTGACATTTTGTTAAGAAAAGTCTTATTTTCAAAAGAATTGTTTGGGTATATTGAAATATTCTGTTCAAAAATTTGTCTCTTTGGAACATTTAATGAGAGAAATAAAAGTGTCCATTTCAGCAGTAAAACTGCAGATACACAAATGAAAAAAAAACTACATTGCATCATTCTCTGATAGAAAAATATGATTGTTGCCTGATTTTATGATTTTTTCTATTAAAAAATGAATTCATCAAATTAAATATATGAAAATATTATTTTGTTTTTCATATGTGCTGTCATAGAGTTTATATTCATGCAGTGATTTTCACTGAATTTCAGAAACTGAAAAACTTGAGCAATTTAATAATATATTAATAGTGTTTGCATTTCTTTCACTCAGCACCTATTTACTGAATAACTCTTGTGTGCACAGCACTGTTCTAGAATCTGACCTCATAAAAGCCAATAAAACAGACAAGGTTTCTGGACTGATAAGTTGTATGTTTTAATGGTGGTAGGCAGATGATAGACAAGTAAATATATGAAGAAATCAGTTTCAGATAGTGGTAAATACTAAGAAGAAAATAAGAAAACCTAGAAAAAGAATGTCAGTTTCTGACATGTTAAGTATGAGGTGCTTTCTACGGATTTGCATTTTTCTTGCTGAATCATCTATATAATCAGGCTTAGAGAAGCATTCCTACCTTATAGTCATTTGTGGATTATGCAGTAGATTGAGCTTTAGTGGGATTCTATTTGCCAATTTCTTTAGAAAAAATTGAATAGATTTTTTTTCTGAGATAAGAGCTTTCTTGAAGAATTTTTAGTGTGCTAAAAGATTTATTGATATGAGCTCATTAATGATTGTCTTCAGTTAGATCAAAGAACATTTCATGATTTTTAAACCAAAGATGACGGGAAACTAATTATAATATGGTGACTGGAGTGCCCCATTAGGGATTTATAGCTCTATACTTTAAACATGGTTTTGGTACTAATAAAGTCTGTGACTTTGGATATCACTCTACTTCTGAGTTTCAGCCTTCTCATCTGTAAAATGATGGCTTTGACCAAGATGATCTTTCAGGCACCTTACAGCTTTAATATTGTTAATATTTATTATTATTTTTTAGACACAAAGGAAAATATCATTGTTTCAGATACTCTTCAAAAAGTTTGGGCTGTACTGGAAATGAATATAGAACAATATGCAGTTTCTCTCTTAAGGTAATGGGCAGTATAATGATATTTCATATTGTACTGTAGTAATAATATTCAAGTTCCAGTTCAAATGATACATTGTTCACTAAGTTTTCTTTATCACTGTAGCTAGAAACACCTCATTGCTTCTGAACTTTTACAGTATTTTATCTGAAACCTTTTTATGATACTTGCTGCTTTTTTATGTTCTAATTGCACTTGGCTAAAACTCTAAACAGAACACCTTTGAGAAGCAGAACAGAGTTTCTTGCAGTCTTATGGTGTTGAAGAGACAAAGATTAGATTGCAGGACTTGCTAGGGGAGGGGACCCCAGGAAACAATTCAAGTTGTTAGTTGAGAGCCATGTGGGGGAAAACTGTGGAAACGGGCAAATTAGAAGTAGATTGAGCCTGAGAAAAATGATAATCTAGCCACATATCATGTTCAAGAGACAGGATAATCTGAACAAAACCAAGAGAAAAGTGCATGTGTGTGTGTGTGTGTGTGTGTGTGTGTGTGTGTGTATGAAAGTAGTAGACCCTCTGGTGATCCAGATATTAAAATTAGCAGATAAAACCTCTAAGGTAACTATTATGGAAACGTCTACAAAAGTAAAAATTAATAAAACCACAGAGAAAATAGATTAAAAGTTTGAGAATTTGAATTTTAGAAAAGCCAAATGGAAATTATATCATTTAAACTTTTAGTAGCTGAAATTAAGAATCCGTTAACGGATTTTACAGCAGATTAGGAAGATTGGAAGAGGAGACTAATGAACTGGAAGACAGGTCAATAGAAAAATATCCAAATTGAAGCATAGGGGAAAATTAATGCAAAATTAAAAAAGCATAAGAGACCTGTGGAACTTGCTCAAAACATCTCATATATATGCAAATGGAGCCCCAGAATGTAAGAAGATAATAGCTGAGAATTTTCCAAAACTGATGAAGGGTATCAACCCATATTTTCAAGAGACTCTGCAAACCTTATGCATAAAATGCACAAAGGCAACTACACCTAGACTCATCATAGTCAAATTGTTGAAAACGAGTGACCTAAAAAAAACTTAAAAGCAGCCAGAGAAATAAGACATAGTATCTTCAAAGAACAATCAGGCTAATAGCTGTCTTTTTGGGTTCAAAGTATACGTTGGAGTACAATGTATGACAATAGGCCTTAAAAAAAACCATTGCTGTTGAGTTGATTCCAACTCATAGCGACCCTATTGGACAGAGTAGAACTGCCCTATATGGTTTCCAAGGAGCTACTGGTTTATTTGAACTGCTGACCTTTTCGTTAGCAGACATAGCTCTTAACCACTGTGCTACCAGGGCTCAAGCTTAGATTAAGGTAGCCCCCATGTGCTTTAAAGTGATGCTTTGCATTGCTAGACTCTACCCCATTATAATTCCTAGGTAGGGTGATCATGTTATTGATCATCCAAACTGGGACATTTAGGGAAGGAGGGATTGCTGATAATAATTATACGAGGTTTATAAGCCTAAACCAGGACTGTCCCAGGGAAACCAGAATATAGGGTCACCTTAGTCTTTGTTCTTATCACTATTTTAAAAGACTTTTTAAAGTCCCTCCTAATATAAGCCTATCAATTCCTTCCCATCACTGAAGACTAATGATCAAGTAAATCGTGTATATTAGATCCTCTGTGTGGATCTCCACAGCTTTTTTCCTGCTAGCAGTACAATTAAACCATGTGTCTTCTGGAAGCCAAGAACACTTTTAGCTCTTTGTAGACCTCCAATAGAGATATCTTTCCTATGGCTATAATGGCTTTCTTCCTAACCAGTACCTGAGACATCATGTAAAACCTTAGATTCCTGGTGGTGCTAACGCTAGATCCAGTTCCTGGCATAGTGGGACAGATAAGACCCAAAAGATACCTCACGTCACTTTCCTCATGTTTTCGAATATGTCACAACCTTCCAGGGGGAAACCGTAGAGAAACCTCGTCCTTAGTTTTCAGCCTGTTTTACATGCACCACTCCCCCATGCGCCAGGAACCAAGTAGAAGGAACACTCTAACACTATACCTCTGTTCATGGCCTTCGTGTGTGTGTGTGTGTGTGTGTGTGTGTGTGTGTGTGTGTTTTGGTTTGGTTTGGTTTTTGAATCTGTTTTTCTAAACCCATTTCTCGCATTAGAATCCATTCTAGTCTCTATTCCCTATCTCAACTCCAGACCCTTCACTTACTCCCAATTTTATTGTCTGCTTCTAGTTTTCCTACCTTTACAACTTGAACTTTGGTTCTGGTTTCTCACCTCTAAGCTTCAATTAGGCCCTCAATCATGAATTAGGTTCTCTTTTGACTAGGAGCTTCAGATAAATTTAAGCACCTCCAGGAGCTATCTCTTACGGTTGACCTGGAATGACCCTTCCTTTGTACCACCTACCATGGACCGCACAACCACCTGTCATCAAATACTCAATCCAACAAAGGACAACAATATTTTATTTTATTTTTGTCTATTTCTTCTTTTGTAAGTAGAGTGTATTTTAAAAATTGCTTCTGCCATTGCTACTTATTTTTACACTGTTTTTACATTGGTAGACTAATGTTTAAAAGCAAGTGCAAGTCTATTGAATCCTATCCTTGCTATCAAGATGAAGAAACAAAGCTTGCTTTTGCTGACTATACCGTGAACTATCCAGACCAGCCACCAAATTCTTGGTTTATAGTTTTCAGGTGAGATTATTATATACTGGCAAATGAAGTCATTTTTAAATGACTGCAATATTAATATCTGTAGAGTTTTGTTTATGATATTAGGAAAGGTATCAATTTATAGATTGCTTTCTTGCTTAAAATTTCTTTCATACCTAATGTGTATGAATTAGATGATATTATATAGAGGAATGTGTCTGTGTTTCTTTAAACAAAACACTAAGAACGTGAATTATTGGAACTTTTTACTAGTGTGGTAATATAATAAATTAATGTGCTTTCAGCACAGAAAGGAAATCTTTTAATGCTCAAGCCATAACATATTAGCTATTTTTAGCTATTTAGCATATTGGCTAATATTAGCTAATTAAAATCTAGCATATTAGCTAAATTTTCTGAATATTACCATTAGATTTTACTAAGTTTGAAGATGTTATCAAACCATAATTTGGATTTAAATTATTTTTACTTTGTATTAAATTTGGCCTGTTTCATATTTATATTTTTATGAAAAAAATCTGAATAAATAATCATTTTTGTATGTGCAGTTATCTATATCTGGAATTATGCACTTAAACATATTTTTAAAAAACTCATATACATATAAAATAGGATTTCTTACAGAGTTTGGATTTACATGACAAAATATTATATTAATAATTTTTAAAGGGAAACAATATGTGGACCTTTTAGTTGGGGACTTTAGACTTAATTTTTTACTTCTTAGGATTAAACCTGATTTCAGACTTTAAGATTCATTTTAAAGTGTATGCTTTTTGTAATTATAGAGAAATATTTTTGGTTCCTCAAGACATGATTGTGGTCCCCAAAGTATATACTACCCTTCCAGTCTGTATTCTCCACGTTGTTAATAATGACACAATGGAGCAAGTGCCAAAGGTGTTCCAAAAAGTGGTACCTTATCTCTATACCAAGAACAAGGTAGGTCTAAAATTTATTCTCCTCATATGATAGAATGATAGTATGAAACAATAACCTTGTAGAAGGTCCAGGACAAGGTAATGGCAGGTGAGCCTTCAATCTATTTAACAGAGAATAACATACTAGTCTTTACTTACAAAAACCTGCTATCGTCAAGTCGACACCAACTCATAGGAACCCTACAAGACAGGGTAGAACTGCTCCATAGGTTTTCAAGCATGTAAATCTTTATTTATAGAAGTCCCACTTATGTGACAGCAGGAGGTACTTACTGGAGAGCTGGAGCATTCTTTAGCTCTCATGCCTCCTTGTTTTCTCCTCAAAGAAAATATGAGGAAAATAAAGCATTATTATGGTTGTTGTTAGGTGCTGTCAAGTTGGTTCCAACTCATATAGTGAACTTATGTATCACAGAACAAAATATTGCCTGGTTCTCCACCATCCTCACAGTCGTTGCTATATTTAAGCACATTGTTGCAGCCACTTTGTCAATTCATCTTGTTGAGAGTCTTCCTCTTTTTCACTGACCATCTAATTTACCAAGCATGATGTCTTTCTCCAGGGACTGGCCCCTCCTGATACCATATCCAAAGTATGTGAGATGAAGTCTTGCCATCCTCGCTACTAAAGCTATACTTCTAAGACAGATTTGTTCGTTCTTCTGGCAGTCCATGGTATATTCAGTATTTTTCACCAACACCATAATTAAAATGTGTTATTTGGTCTTTCTTATTCATTTTCCAGGTGTTGCATGCATATGAGGCAACTCAAAATAGTATGGCTTAGGCCAAGCACACCTTAGTCCTTAAGGTGATATCTTTGCTTTTTAACACTTTAAAGAGGTCTTTGTGGCAGATTTGCCCAATGCAGTGTGTCTTTTGATTTCTTGACTGCTGCTTCCATGGACATTAATTGTGGATCCAAGTAAAATTAAGTCATTGACAACTTCAGTCTTTTCTCCATTTATCATGATGTTGCTTATTGGTCCAGCTGTGGGGATTTTAGTTTGCTTTATGTTGAGATGTAATCTATACTGAAGCCTGTAGTCTTTGATCTTCATCAATAAGTGCTTCAAGTCCTCTTCACTTTCAGCAAGCAAGGTTGTATCATCTGCATATCACAGGTTGTTAATAATAGTAATAATAATAAAAACCCATTGCTATCAAGTCAGTTCTGACTCATAGCAACCCTACAGGGCAGAATAGAACTGCCCCATAGGTTTTCCAAGGCTGTAATCCTTATGTAAGCTGACCGTCACATCTTTCTCCTGTGGAGCAGTTGGTGGGTTCAAATTGCCGACCTTTTGGTTAGCAGCTGAGTGCTTAACCACTGCACCACTAGGGCTCCTGTTAATAAGTATTCCTCAAATCCTGATGGGGTGTTATTCTTCATATGGTCCAGCTTCTCAGATTATTTGCTCAGTATACATATTGAATAACATAGGTGAAAGGATATAACCCTGATGCACAACTTTTCCAATTTTAAACCCTGCAGTATCCCATTGTTCAGTTCGAATGACTGCCTCTTGGTCTATCTTGGTCTATCTACACATCCCACATCAGCACAATTAAGTCTTCTGGAATTCCCATTCTTTGCAGTGTTATCCATAATTTGTTATGATCCGTGCAGTTGAATGCCATGGCATAGTCAATAAAACACAGGTAAACATCTTTTTGGTATGCTCTGCTGTCTTAGTCATCTCGTGCTGCTATAACAGAAATACCACAAGTGGATGCCTTTAACAAAGAGGAGTTTATTCTCTCACAGTCTAGTAGGCTACAAGTCCAAATTCAAGGCATCAGCTCCAGAGGACGGCTTTCTCTCTCTGTCGGCTCTGGAGAAGGGTCCTTGTGACACACCAGTCTTCCCTTGGTCTGGGAGAATCTCAGTGTAGGAACCTCAGGTCCAAAGGGCATGCTCTGCTCCCGGCACTGCTTTCTTGGTGGTATGAGGTTCCCATATGTCTCTGCTCACTTCTTTTATATCTCAAAAGATATTGGCTTAAGACACTATCCAACCTTGTACACCTCGTCAGTATAACTGCTGCTAATCCATCTTATTAGATCATAGTGATTGAATTTACAACACATAAGGAAATCACATAAGATTACAAAATGGTACACAATTATACAATACTGGGAATCATGACCCAGCCAAATTGACAGATATTTTTTGGGGACACAATTTAATCCATAACATCTGCTTTAGCCAAGATCTGTCTGAGATCAGCAATGATGTTCCACATCCTAATCTGAATCCATCCTGAATTTCTGAGTTTCATGTTGATGTAGTGCTGCACCAGTTCTTTAATTATCTTCAGCAAAATTTTGCTAGTATGTTATATTAATGATATTGATCAATAATTTCCTCATCCCTTTGGAATGAACAAAAATATGGATCTTTTCCAGTTTGTTGGCCAGGTAGCTGTCTTCCAAATTTCTTGGCATAGATGAATGAACACTTCATAAATGACAATTGTACACATGGATCTTACTGCATGGAATACATAGGAATCAAATCAAGTCCATCTGTGGAAAGAGACAATGGAGAAGCTCAATATGATCAGTCAGAACAAGGCAATGGGCTGGCTGTGGAAAAGACTATCAAGTACCTGTATTCAAGTTCAAGCTGAAGCTGAAGAAAATTAAAACAAGTCCACAAGAGACAAATTATGACCTTGCATATATCCCATCTGAATTTGGAGGCCATCTCAAGAATAGATTTCACTCATTGAACACTAAAGACCAAAGACCAGAACAGTTGTGGGATGACATTAAGGACATCATACATGACGAAAGCAAGAGGTCATTAAAATGACAGGAAAGAAATAAACGATCAAAATGAGTGTCAAAAGAGTCTTTGAAACTTGCTCTTGAACATGGAGTAGCTAAGCAAATGGAAAGAAATGATGAAATAAAAGAGCTGAATAGAATATTTCAAAGAGTGGTTCGAGAAAACAAAGTAGAGTATTACAATGAAATATGCAAAGACCTGGAGTTAGAAAACCAAAAGGGAAGAACACACTAAGCATTTCCCAAGCTGAAGGAACCGAAGAAAAAATTCAAGTCTCAAGTTGCAATACTGAAGGATTTTATGGGCAAAAAATTGAACGACACAGAAAGCATCAAAAGAAGATGGACAGGATACACAGAGTCATTGTACCAAAAAGAATTGGTCGACGTTCGTCCATTTCAGAAGGTAGCATATGATCGAGAACTGATGGTACTGAAGGAAAAAGTCCAAGCTGCACTAAAGACATTGGCAAAGCATCAGAGATTCTAATTATTGAAATCATAAAACTGTACAAACCCTTAGACCACAAATGAATCTAAGGAGACCATTAAGCCTGTACCTATCCCAAATCAGCAGATTATCTCTGTTTCTCACTGAATTTTTTTTCTATTTCTAAATTTTACAAGAGATTGTGTTTATAGAGCCATCCATCATAGCTACTCCCATAGTCTTCTTTAGTGCTACTCAAAATCTGTTAGTGGCCAGAAACACTTGGCACATTAATTTTGCTGAAAGGTAGACCCAGGTCTCTGACCTTTACTCAAACTGTGTTGCCTCTCTATTTAAATCTTATCTTTGAGTTTTCAATCGTTTCGTCTTAAGAGAGAAGGATGGCAATGGATAGTGTACACCTGGACTGCAAACCAGGAGATCTCAGGTGTAGCTCTGATTTTCCATTCTTTTGCTGTATGGCTTTGAACTTCTCCATTTTTCTCTTTGGGTTGTGTTTACTTGCCTTCTAAAGTTCTTTTCATACTTACGAATCTATGCATAATTTTGTGTAAATTAAGATACCTATCTGTCTTAGGCTGGGTTCTGTAGAGAAGCAAAACCAGTAAAGCATATAAATATATATAGAAAGAGATTTATATCAAGGAAATGGCTCACATGGTTGTAGGGGCTGGAACGTCCCAAGTCCGTGGGTCAGGATAGAGGCTTCTTCGGATTCATGTAGCTGCTGGGCCTGGCGAACCTAAGATTCAGGTTAGAGAGCAGAGCTTTTGCTCATAGGCTATGAAGATCGACGGATCCCAAGATCGGCAGGCAAGACCACAGGTAAGCTGCTAGCTCAAGTCCCAAGAACCGGAGGGCAGATGAACAGTAGCCAGCTACAGGATTCAGTGTGAGCAAAAAATGCCCATGAGCCTTGCCTGAAGGTCCACCACTTACATTTGGATGCAGGCCACACACCCAAGGAAACTCCCTTTCAACTGATTGGCCAGTCACAGCAGATCCCATTATGGAGGTGATCACAGCATCGTATGACTGCCAAGCCACTGAGAATCATGGCCCAACCAAGTTGACAGACAACCTTAACCATCACACTATGTAATGAATACTAGTTTAGAGGAATAAAGGATAAATTTTAAAAAATGTTTAACTCCATAAAAAACATAATAGCTGTTTTATGATGTTTTTGGAATTTTAGTAACCTTTAAAAAATCAGGACAGTTGTACAACTTCTTGCTGAAATCCTTTAACCCAATTGATTGATGCACACACACATTATATATATACACACACACGTATATAGCTAGTATATGTAAATATTTATAGCTATAGATATTATATATGCATTAGGATTTTTTACTAATGGAATTTTTACTATTTTATTATGATTAAAAACTCTTATGTTTTTTCTGTTACTTCTCATGAGATAAATTTTCTAAATATTGCGTTCAGATTTTACTAGGTTTGCAGATGTTATCAAATAGTAATTTTGGTTTAAAACTATTTTTTACCTTGTAAAATTTGACATTTCACATTTATACTTTCATGGAAAAATGATTGTTTCTTTAGGTTTTTTTCATAAAAGCGTAAGTATTTGACCTAGATTACCTTTTGAATATAGACAGTTGATTTAATTTGGGATTGAAATGAAAATCCCCTAAGATCAAGAGGGAAATGATTATTTCATTCAGTGGGAGACTCTCTTGAGGTCTTAGATGTCATCAAATTCTAGAAATGAGCTCTCTAACTTTGCTAGACAACTACACTAATGTGAGTCATATTTAATTTTGGAAGGGACTTTAAAGCATATTTAGCTGAACCATCCAATTCTTATTTCTGTCTAGCATACTTTGCTTGTTTTTGTTTTAGTAATGCCAGTAATGATCTATCTCCCTAGACTAAGTTTGAATTTTTTGGATAGCTCTAAATTATGTATTTTGAGTCAATATGCAGAAGAAGATTCTATCTCCATTTAACTATGTATTATCTCTAAATTGAGAATTCAGGATTATACAGAATACACCCATTCCCTTTCTCTAATATTTCATCTCTTCCACCCCCTTATTCTAGCTCTTCATAGAAAGACATGGAAAGAGTAGGGAGGAGAGTATAGAGCTGTGTGAATAGAATAGTAATAGTGTTATTATTACTAAGTAATAGTAACTTAAGTGGTTCTTTTTATGGTAGTTTGCTTCATGATTCTTCACCTTTGAACATTTCTCCAAATTGTTTATGTTCCTACTAAACTGTGGCTTCTGAAAATAAATGCAGCCTATAAAGGGCAGTTCCAGCCTCCTAAATATGAGCATCATTACTCCATTGTTTTGTAGACTTGATTACATTAGCATTTTGGCACTCACATTTCGTTATAAAATTTTACTTTGTCTTCTCAGTCGTCCTTTGAAATCTTCTGTTCTTTCTCCTATTTCGCCCTAGAAACATGGCTTTTAGAAGGTTCTACCCTGAACTCTTATGACATATATGTGAGTGACATATATGTAGCCTTTATGTATTAGGTCATCATTTCCCAATGTATGTCCACAGAATTAGTGTTCCTCAACGTATTAACATGTTTTATGAAAACAAAATGTGTTCTAAGGTTAAAAAAAAATAAAAAACTTAAAGAGAAGTATTTCAAGACTTCTCAGAGTCTCTCATAAAATAATGTATATTATGTATCTCCAAGAGGCAGATATGTAAACACAATATTTGCCAAATATACTAGATCATGGAAGCCAGTTTTCATAAAGTATATTAGCTCAATGTTTCATAGAACACACTTGGAAAATACTTATTCTAAATTAAAACCTTTGTGATTTTCACATGTTGTCCTTTTATCCCTCTTCCCTTTGTTTTTCTACTTAAATAATTTGCCATGATGTTTATAAGCTCCCTTTCCAGGCAAAAGAAATCATAAGTTTCCTCCTTTATATAATGATATGGTCTTACTCTCATACCCCAGAAGTAGTCTCAAGAGGCAACTGAACATATTAATAGAATAAATAAGGAAGATGTGATCATCGTAATGAATGCAGGAAATATAATAATATTTAATATCACGAATGGAACAGAATGAAGCTTCCTTAACTTGATAAAAAATACCTACAAAGCAAACATTATACTTAATGTTAAAGTGATGACAGCTTTCTCTTTGAAATTTGGAAAAAGAGAAGCATATTTGCTGTCACTATTTCTGTTAAATATTGTACTAGAAAGAAAAAAATAGGAATTATAACAAGAGCATTATCTAGTGCAATAAGATAAAGAGAAGTAAAGAGAAGAGGAAAGAGGAAGGGAGGAGAGGTAAGAACAAGCTTAAAGACTGGAAAGGGAGAAAAATAATTTGTCATTATTCCTGATGTTTGAATGTGTACATAGAAAATCAACAGAATCTACAAAATCATTCTTTGAATTAACAAATGAATTGAGCCAAGTGGTACAAGTTCAGTTTTAAAAATCAAGTTTAAGTCTATAATCTAGTAACTAATAATTAGTTAGAAAATGATACTTAAAATATTATTTGTAATATCATCAAAAACTATCAAGACCTACAAACAAATGTCATAAAAGAGGTGCAGGACCTATATGTGGAAAATTATAAATCATTATTGAGTAAATTAAAGGAAACCTAGATAAAAACCAAAAAAGCCAAACCTGCTGCCCTCAAGTCAACTCTGACTCATGGCAACCCTATAGGACAGGGTAGAACTGCCCCATTGGGTTTCCAAGGAGCAGCTGATGGATTCGAACTGCCGACCTTTTGGTTAGCAGCCAAACTCTTAACCACTGTGCCGCTAGGGCTCCCAGAAACCTAAATAAAAGGAGATATTTATCATATCTTTGGATTGGAAGAATATAGTTAATTTATATTTAAAATGTCCATTTCCCAAATTTATACATATAAACAATGTAATCTCTATAAAAAATTCCATCAGATTTATGCAAAACTTGACAAGCTAGTTTTAAAACTCACTTGATGTTGCAAAGGCCCAAAAGTAGCCAAGACACTCTTGAATGACAACAAATTGGAAAATTTTTATCTGTAGGTTATCAAGACATAACTAAAAAGCTTCAGAAATTAAAACATTATCATATTAGTGCAAGCATAGTCATATAAAACATTGTTATAAAGTAGCCCAGAAAAGACCCAATTGGACACTTATGATAAGGAAGAAATGGAGGGAAGGATGATCTTTTCAATAAATGGTACCAGGACAATTGGCTATCTGTATGGAGAAAACCACATAATATGCACAAAAAAAAAAAAAAAAAAGTCAACTTCAAGAGAATAATAGATCTAAATATGAGAAGAAAAACAATGAATACCGTAAGAGATCCCCTAAGAGAGTGATGAAAATAATTTTGATTTACTTGCATTTCTATGGAAGCTAGGAACAACCAACAATAGGGATATGGCTCTTCTTTAGTCCAGGCCTGATTTTAATGAGTCTAATAAAGAAACTAAGAGCCAGAATCAAGTCAAAATGTGTTGACTGTCCCCTTGCTTCTTAATAAAAACAATACTGAAAAAAATTCAGCTATTATTCGTATTGTTCGTAGGCGTCTGTTGAAAGTGAGATTATTCTCTGTCCTGACCTATCCTAGGCTTTGGACTGGGGATGACTTATAATAATAGGGAAAATAAGTGCACTTGCAAAAAGATGTTTCTATAACCTACAGACAAACACAGTTTTCATTGGCCCACCATTATTATTGTTTCAAAATGGGGAGTAGTTCTGAGCCTGGTTATTACCTCCTCTGAGGGTAGACGCTGTGGAGAAACAGGGTCATGGGGTAGATATCCAACAAGAGTAGTCAAACTTTGGGGCTTTGGTGGGCTATTTTCTTTCTATTTTTTCAAACAGAAAGCAAGCAAGAAGCTTTGGGCAGTAGATCCTTTAGTATTCGGGTTTATCCTTTCTCAGTACAGTCTGTCATTTCTGTGAGTCATATCTGTGTTACATAAGAGCAAAAGAAAATCACCACTGTCTGTTAATCTCATCAGCTTCCATTGGAAGAATAATTGTTTTGTGGTGGTTTCAGAGGGCCCCAAGTGTCATCTTTACAGGAAGCAACTGAAATAGTTTACTTTGCATTTTCAAAGCTGAGGATAGTTTTCTTCATTAATAAAAAATTAGAATTGAACAGTCATACAGAAAAGACCTGTCATAGATTTAACAAGCACTCATTTTACTGTTAGAGTTATGCAATTTCTCTCAAAACATGTAAGCTGGTGCTATTTAAGAGGAATTTCAAACCATAGCATTAGCAATTCTATGTTTTTTAAGAGATCTTGGGATCTTTATGTATGTCATGATACTATAGCGTTTTAGTAGCGTGAAATCATATGTTATGCATTTGAAAAACTAACAACAAATGTAACTTCTTTCTGTGTAATGCCTCTTTCTTACAGAAGGGATACACATTTGTAGCTGAAGCATTTACAGGTGATGCATTTGTATCAGCTTCAAGATGGAAACTGCGCATCATCGGTTCTTATACTCCACTCCCATGCCTCTCTCGAGACTATCTAAGTAATAACTTTGCCATGAAAGAAATCAGAGATTACTACATACCCAATGATAAGAAAATTTTATTCAGGTATAAATATATGACAGAAGGGGAAATGCATTTCCTTTAAAATATTATTCTAAGATAAATTCTGTAGCAAAATCCTGAGTCAATTTTGAATTTCAGTGTCAATCCTCTTTTGAAAACAATTAACTAACAGAGTAATGTGATTATCTAGATGTCATATAGGTTTATCATTGCGTGTATGATGGTATTGATATTTTCTTAGTCCTCATCCTGCTTGCCTTCTGTTATAAACATAATATCCTTGGTGACACTTTTTCCTCTTACTACTTCTCCTCCTTCTCTTCCATCTCCGTTGTAATATCTTGTGCTTGCTTCTCTTCATCTGCCAGCTTAACCTTCTCATTTTCCTGCTCCTCTAAATGCACAGCTTGAATGGACTCATCCTGGACTCCAGTCTCTTTTGTTAATCAACACTGCTGATTCCAATTCTGACATACTTCTCATCTCTGTCCCCTCCTCACAGTCGCTGTACTACTTCAGGCCCACATCACCTTTTCTCTATAAAATTTCGGTGTTTCTGGAATCCATGACTCCATTGTATTCTTTTTTACACTGTATCATTTCTTTCTCTCTCTCTGTCTGTCTACCTGCCTGTCTATTCACGTACATATCCATGTTTTATTACCAGTGTTATGTTAACACACATATTAAAAAATATAAATCTTTGACCATTTTCCATTGGCTACAGAAAAGAATTCAAGTTACTTAGCATAATACCCAACACTCTTGCCCTGCTACCCAGTACACAGTGCATTGGTGAAACTAACCACCCACTCTGGCACATATGCCATGGGATTTTACTTTCCTCTTGTATTGTAATATCCTGTCCTCACCCCATTTTTCCACCTAGAAAAACCCATCACTTTTAACTATAACTTTCAACAGTCAAATTCTTTGTGATTAATATATCATCAGTTGGTCTTGGTCATGTTCCTACAGTCCTTTGCTAATTCTGAGAACATGACATATCAAATTTTAGCTTAATTTCCCATAAGCCTCTATGAGATGTTACATCTACTGAAGCCAGGAACAAGGGCGTTTCAATATAGGACCTAGCAAGGGCCTAATAAATAATTGGCCTTCGTTCAATATCTGTTGTTATTAAATTGTTAGAATATTTATTTTCTCTTTTAAATATATATTGTTCTGCTTTCAAAAGTAATAATTATTATTGCAGAAAATTTGGAAAATGTATAACTGAATCATGAAGGAAATAAAAGTCTTCCATAACTACACAGCCTAGACACAACTGTTGTTAGTATTGTGTTGTATTTTCTTGTTATGTGTTTACTAGTCACAGTTTAATATTATTCAAATTATAATTACAGTTTTATAATTCTGGTATTTTAACTTAACAATATATTGTGAGAATTTCTCAATGCCATTACAACAGTTTGTGAACTCTTTTTCATGATTTCTTAATAATCAGTTATATGGATATACAATAGTTTAACTATTTCTTATTGTTAAAAATTTTCATATCTGATTTTTCTATAGTATTAATAGAGATGTGATGGACATATTTTATTGTAAATATTAAAGCAAATTTCTGCTTATTTTCTAGGATTTATTAAGAGATTATATGTTTTAAAGACACCATACCAAACCAAACCCACTGCTGTTGAGTTGATTCCAGCTCATAGCGACCTTATATATATTAGTAAATTGATTTTCAAAAGGAAAACCTAAGTCTTTTTTGACAATATATGCACAAATAATAATGGCTTTGATTTGTTGTATTCTGGTTAATTTTTCTTCTAATTCTTATTTACCTATACTTTTAAACCTTTTCTCCCTAAGAAAACATGCATAAATTTCTGTAATGAAATATAATCAGCAATATAATTAAATTTCAGAACAATATATACAGCATAATCCCAAGTATGTTTTAAAAAAAGTATGTTTGTTTATTATGTGTAAGTAAAAGTTTAGGAAAAATTCTGAAAGAAAGTATAGTAAACTGAGGGCAGTAGAAGAGGTGGAGGATTCACTTCTTTATCTGTCTACTTATAATGTATCTATGTATTGCCTATTTGAAAGAAAGCAAGAGAAAGAAAACAAGAAATAAGTGAAGACAACAGTTGTGGTAAAATGTTTTAACTACTATGATAGAAGAAATATAGGAAACTGTGGTATCAATAGCAGGGGCACTATAGACCAAGAAGTGATTTTAACCTAATATCTAAATTAGTCCTTGAAGCCAGTCTTAAAACTGTCAAGGTAAGTGGTGGGGGAGTTGAGGAGGGAACTGCTTGAAAGTTCAGAAGTTAACAAATATATGGCCTTTTTAGGGAATAAAAGATTACGCACTTTGTTTGCAAAGTGGGATTCCAGGGTGCTGTGGCAAGCAGTAAGGCTGGCCAGATCAGCAGAGCCCTTTCCATGAAAGGCCTCATAAAACAAGGAATTTAGATTTTACCTTAGGGGCAATAACATACTGTTTGAAGTGTTTAAGTCAAATGATGTTATCAGACTTGTGTTTTGTGGCATTCATTCACAAGGCTGCAATGTGTTGAAATTATTTAAAGGGAGCCTGAGAGGCCAGGTGGGAGACTTAGAAATAATACAGGTGTGTGAGATAAGGCAGTGATAGTAAACCTGGAGAGGACAAAAGAGATTTTAAGATATTGAGGAAGTAAAATTGACAGTCTTGGTTGATTGGTACTGCTAGAGTTTGACTGGGGGACTATTTGGAGAGTAAGTGCCTATTACTTAGATAGAGGATCCTGGATTGAGGGGAGCAGAGCACGTTTGCAGGATGGGCAATAGGAAGGCAGTGAATTCATCTTTTGGTGTTAAATATAGTAGGCCAATGAAATGTCCGAGTGACATTACATAGGTAGTTGGGCTGTAGATATAGATTTGGGAATCATTATTCTATTTCACCTCTTGGAAGTGAGAGACATAGGACAAAACATTAGGATTCTCTGATATTTACGGAAGAGAAGCTTTAAACAACAGCTCCAAAGTAAGAGGGAAACTATAAAAGTTATGCTCATAAGGGAAGTATTTTTAAAGAAGGAGGGCATGAGAGTTGATTTAACACTGTCAGACTCTCCTGAGAGATCAAAGTAAGAAGAAAACTAAAGTTTCTTTAGGGTTGGGGACAAGCTACTTTAAACATTGGCAAGAACAGGTTTAGCACATGGAATGGGGGCGGAGTGGAGTTGGAGTATGCTATAAGAGAGTGGGAGGTGAGGAAAGGAGGCGACTGGGAATAGCACTCTTTAGATGATGAGCTGGGGAGGAATGAAATAGAGCAGAATCTGGGCTGGAATGTGGGATGACGATATTGTTTGTTTTTTGTTTTGTGTTGATTTGTTTTTAAGATGGGAGGGTCTTGCACACGTACAAAAGATAATAACAAGGGAAGAATAAAGAGAGGGAGATTTAAGATACAGGAGAGAAAGCATAATCAGAAAAGCAAACTTCTAGAGAAACGGAATGTTCAGATAGGGTCCTGAACATTTGGAAGGATTCACTTGAAATAGGAAAAGGACAATCTCTTCAATGGTATCAAGTGGGGAGTTGGAAAGGGTGGGTGAGGGTGTGTTTCCAGTCTTTCTGCAGGAGGTTCCCAACCTGTATGGTAAAAGTTGAGAGTGGAGGCGGTGGGTATGACTTTTGATTTCTCTGTGTTTTGTGAATCAAAGAAAATACTGTTGACTGTGAAGCTTTGAAAGTCACTGCTTCTGCCCCAGTTGTTCTCTTTGTTCAACTGAAGAGGAGTGTGTAATGGAAAGACTTGGTGTGACAGTAGTCTGTAGATCTATTAAGAGGTTTGGTGGTGGCAGTAGCTTGCAGATCCATCAAGTTTTACAGGTGAGCACTTGTCATACAGGTCTCTGGTGGTGCAAACTGTTAATGTCTTCAGCTGTAAATGGAAAGGTTGGAGGCTTAAGTCTACACGAGACACATCGGAAGAAAGTCCTTGTGATCTACTTCCAAAAAATTAGCCATTGAAAACCCTATAGAGCACAGTTCTACTCTGACACATGGAGTTGCCATGTTGTTTTTAGGGGCTGTCAAGTCAGTTCTGACTCATAGCAACTCTATGTACAACAGAACAAAACACTGCCCCGTGTTTCATCATCCTCACAATCATTCCTATGCTTCAGCCCATTGTTGCAGCTGCTGTGTTAACCCATCTTGTTGAGAGTCTTCCTCTGTTTTGCTGACCCTCTACTTTACCAAGTATGATGTCCTTCTCCAGGGACTAATCCCTCCTGAAAACATGCCCAAAGTACATGAGACGAACTCTCGCCACCCTCACTTCTAAGGAGCATTCTGGCTATACTTCTTCCAAGACAGATTTGTTCTTTCTTCTGGCAGCCCATGGTATATTCAATATTCTTTGCCAAAATCATAATTCAAAAGCATCAATTCTTCTTCAGTCTTTCGCATGCATTTGAGGCAATTGAAAATACCATAGCTTGAGTCAGGCGCACCTTAGTCCTCAAAGTGACATCTTTGCTGTTTAACACTTTAAAGAGGGCTTTTGCAGCAGATTTGCCCAATGCAATACATCATTTGATTTCTTGACTGCTGCCTCCATGGGCATTGATTGTGGATCCAAGTAAAATGAAATCCTTGATAAACTTCAATATTTTCTTCGTTTATCATGATGTTGTTTATTGGTCCAGTTGTGAGGATTTTTGTTTTATGTTGAAGTGTAATCCATACTGAAGGCTGTCGTCTTTGATCTTCATCAGTAAGTGCCTCAAGTTCTCTTCACTTTCAGTAAGCAAGGTTGTGGCATCTGCATTTTGCATGCTGTTAATGAGTTTTCCTCCAATCTTGATGCCGTGTTCTGCTTCATATAGTCCAGCTTCTTGGATTATTTGCACAGCATACAGACTAAATAAATACGGAGTCACCACAAGTCAGAGTTAACTCCACGGTGACTAATTTAGTTTGTTTTTCTGGCTTATCATATCTAAACAAAAGTTAGGTTTACTATTTGAGATTTGATGATCTTAAAAGTCCTACACTCAGTGAGATGGATTGACACAGTGGCTGCGACAATGGGCTCAAAGATTGTGAGGATGGCATGGGACCGGGCAGTATTTCGTTCTGTTGTACATAGGGTTGCTATGAGTCAGAACTGACTGGACGGCACCTAACAACAACAACAATACTCATTTTATTTTATTGTAGTATATTGGGATCTTTTGCCAAAGCCTATCTTAACTCTAATATTTCCAAGATTTTAATGGACTTTCCAAAGTAGCATTACTTTTAGATGCTCATATCCACAAATTATGTGGTTTCTTTTACAGCCTTGAGGGAAAGAACAACGTACTTGCTTATATAGTTGAATTTTTTCTCTATAGGTATTCAGTTAAAGGTGCATTACCACATCCTGTTACAGTACAGGTACGCACATCCAAAGCAGATGCATTCGTCAAACTACAGATCCTGGAAAATGAAGAATCTATTGTGAGCGCCATTGGGAAAGGCCAAGCTATAATTCCAGCATTTAACTTCTTAGGGAATGAAAAAGATTTGAGCTCCCAGTGTAAGTGTGGCATTTTAAATTTGCCATTTAGATTTATAAATAGATATTTATGTTTATTTGATTGATTTAAAAAAAAAAACAACTTTTCTTTGAGTAAAATACCAAGTAACCAGTTAAGTTTATAAAACTTGGTATCGTAGCAAACTGTAAAAACAAAACAAAAACACTGTTGCATTTGTGTGTCAAATTAGGTTCTGAAGATCAATAGATTTCTTATAATTATCCTTTAAGAACTTTTTACCTTGGAGAGAAATTTAGTTTTCTGTTACATGAGCCTCCTTAGATTGCTGAATGAAACATTTTATTTTTATTATTTTGAAGAGATTATTTACTTTCCATTTATTCCCAATTTATTATTTTTGGAAAATGTTTCACTTATTAAAATTAATAGAAACTTTAACATTATTACCTTTTATTTAACATTTGTAATTTAATAAGTTTTATTAAATAAATAAAATTTATTTCTGATCTAATTCCTAACAGTGATACTGTAAGATGTATTATTTATTTGGTTATTTTAGTAACTTTAAACTAGAAACTACAAATACTAACTCTGAATCTCAGCGAATAGGAAGTGAGTTTGATTTTTTTCTACTCGTAAGGAGATAATAGAAATAATATTTCATTCTTACTGTTTTCCTAGTCATTGTGTATGTAATAGGAGCCCTGGTGGCACAGTGGTTAAGGAATTCGGCTGCTAACCAAAAGGATGGCAGTTCTAAACCGCTAAGCTGCTTCTTGGGAGAAAAATGTGGCAGTCTGCTTCCATAAAGATTTACAGCCTTGGAAACCCTATGGGACAGTTCTACTCTGTCGCTATGAGTTGGGACCAACTCCAAGGCAATGGGTTTGGTTTTTTTAGGTTATTCTGACTATAAAAAATAACACAAGCAAAATGTAGAAAACTTGGAAAAATAGAAAAGCTTAAACTGGGGAGGGGGGGGATGTCATATTTAACCATACTACCCTAGGGGAAAAAACAAACCCTCGGTTAGAATCCACTCGAAGGCAACAGGTTGGTATTTTAGTTCTTATGCCTCCATTCGCCTCTTTCTCCTTTACATTTTGACCATTAGTATTTCTTCTTAAAACTAGAACTTTTTACTTGTTTGTGTCATTGGTTAGGACCTCCAAACCTCTAAAAGAATGTTAAATAAGAGTGATGGTAATGTATTTTCTTTACTTAAAGAGGAAAGCATGTGGCTGGCATTTATCATTAAGTATTATGTTTATTGTTGGCTTCTAATAGTTTCCCTTTATAAAATTTAGGAAAGTTCTTTCCACTGACAGCTAAGAATTTTAATCTGGAATGGGTTTGGAACTTTATAAATTACTTTTTATTGTTTATAGAAGACATCATATTTTACCCCTTTGAACTTAGTATTTTGATTTTTAAATTTTGAACCATCCTTGCATTCTTTGAATAAAATCTCTTTGTCCATGATGTTTTAGTAAATCCTTATGTTTAGAATATACTATTTTATTTAGTTTGTTAGATTATATTCATAAATTTATATCTCTATGGGTGTTTTCCTCCCTGTGTGTACACCTGTATATTATTCTTTTCTGGTTCTCAAGTTAGAATTATGCCATATTTATGAAATTAATTTGGAAACTTTCAATTTTTTGTCTCTTTGAAAGCCATGTAAATACTGCAGGAATCCTTTCTCTTTTAAAAGTTTGTTAGATTTGCCCCCAACACTGCTAATCTTCAGGGGATAGATTTTTGTTTATTTGCTGCCTTTTTAATAACTTCTGCGGTGATTTTTTTCAAACTTTTTCATTTTTACAATATATACTTTTGCTGAAAAGTGACAGTTTCATCTAGTATTTTAAATGTGTAAGTGTAAATTTGCATATATTTTATAAATTTTAAATCTTTTCTGAATATGTTTGTATAATCATTTTAAAATAGTTTTATTTGTGTTTTTAAATTTATTCTTGATCAGACTTTTTAGAGGTTTTCCTGTATTATTTATTGGTTTTTTTCTTAGAATGAACTCTTGGATTTATTAATCCAGCCTAATGGTTTTTTTATATCTGTATTCTACATTAGTAATATTCATATTGTCTTTCAGTCATTCCCTCTACTTTTTAAATTTAGTCTAATGTTCTTTTTTCTGTCTTCACCAGTTGAAAGATTATTTAAATAATATACTTAATTTTGTACTTTTTTTTCCTAAATATAGCTTTAAAAGCATGGCAAAATGTTATGCAGTGTTGTTATAATTTTCCATTTCTAAATAGCCTATGATTTTAATTTTTAATCTCTCTAATCTGAGACATTTATAATGTTTTAAATTATGAAATTGATTTGGCTAAATTTCTGATATTACTGTTTAATTAAATTGTATTGGGGTAAGAGAGTGTAGCTTATGTATTTTCTACTTTGAGAATTTGGTTGATGATTTTTCTGAGGCCTGATTCAAAGAGAATTTTGATTAGTGTTCCACTGGGATTTATAAAGAACGTACTGACTCAGGCAGCAAGGTACAATGAGCAGTAAGAAACTTCCTGCTCAGTCATTAACCTATGAATGATTTTTATTTGGAAAGAAGAATAAAACCAAACCCATTGCCATCAACTCAATTCCGGCTCATAACGACCCTATAGGACAGGGTAGAACTGCCCTATAGGATTTCCAAGGAGCAGCTGGTGGATTGGAACTACCGACATTCTGGTTAGCAGCCAAACTCTTAACCACTGCGCCACCAGGGCTCCAGAAAGAAGAATAGATACCCCCAAAGCAGGGCTCTTTCTCCTCTCCTATTAACCCTGGAAACTATGTATGAGCTGTCACTGTAGCACAAGGATATATGCCTTTCGTATATGAGTAAGACTTAGAGGAGCAGAGAATTGAGAAGACACACTATGATGTCATAATTAGGGCATACATAGAGTGCTTTAGGCACAGGGAAGTGGGAAATGTGTTATGTTATATTTGTAGGACTGAGCTTGCATAAAATTGCAAATTAAGCTGTAACTCTTTCAGTTCTTTTTACAAAAGTGAAAGAAAATCTGTTTTCTCCCATCATTTGCCCTTTGTCCCTGAAATTACACCTGGGAGTCTCTGGGTGATGTAGACGGTTAATGCGTTCAGAAACTAATCAAAAGGTTGGAGGTTCTAGTCTACCCAGAGACATCTTGGAAGAAAGGCCTGGTGATACTTCTGAATAGTGAGCTGTTGAAAACTCCATGAAGCACAGTTCTACTCTGACACACATGGGTTTGCCATGAGTTAGAATTAACTCAATGGCAACTGGTTTTTTAGTTCTTAGTACTATTGGTGGTTTATTGTTCGAATCTGCATTTATACATTTTTTCTTCAGATATATTAAGAACATTAATTAGAGTACTGTTAAAATAAGCCTGAATTCCACTCTTTCTCTTTGAAATGTTGTTGTGGTTAAGGTTGTGTTTCAACTTGTCTGGGCCGTGATTGTCAGTGGTTTAGCAGTTATGATGTAGTTTGATGTTGTAGTATGACGTTGTGATCACTTCCATGGTTAGATTTGGTATAATGTGATCACCCCTACGATGGGTCTGCTGTGAGTAGCCAGTCAGTTGAAAGAGAATTTCCTTGGGCATGTGGCCTGCATCGAATATAAATGGACATTCTGGCAAAGCTCGTGGGCTTTTGTTCAATCTGGATCCTGCAGCTGGCTCCTGTTCATCTGACCTCCAGTTCTTGGGACTTGAGCTAACAGTTTACCTGCGGTATTGCCTTATGATTTTGGTATTCATCGATCTTTGCAGCCTCTGAGTAAGAGCCCTACTCTCTGACCTGCCAATCTTAGATTCACCAGCCCCTGAGGCTGTGTGAATCAGGAGAAGCCTCTATCCTGACCCACGGACTTGGGACATTCCAGCCTCTACAGCCTCGTGAGCCATTTCCTTAAAATAAATCTCTCTATATATGTATTTATGTGCTTTACTGGTTTTGCTTTTCTAGACAACCCAGCCTAAGACAAATGGCTTCGTTTTCTTTGCTCTCATCCATTATATGCAGGTTTCATGATTTATTTCTTAGAGGGATACCTTAATTTTAAAGACTTCATGGGCACCTCTGTGCAACTCTCCGATTCCACTAATATCCTCATGGTTTTCTTTAAAAAACTAGCTACCACCAACTTCCCCCTCCAAATTTTTTGGCCTAAATTCCTAGAGGTAAACACTGTTTATAGTTTATCATACAGCTTATCATTATTTCACTTCAAAACTTACATTTTATAAGAAAAAAATGGATATATATAAACATTCAAAACCAAATTTATGAGTTGAGTTCTGATGAAGAAACAGTTAGATAGAAGAATAGAGTAGGAAAATAATTAGGATAGAATTCAGAAGTTCATCCAGAAATAGAGCCATCATCTATGACTACTCTTCTCTTTCGATGTATTTTTATTTTCATATTTGTATTACTAGATGAACTTCAGTACAATTCTTCAAGTTTACCCCAAAACACACAAAAATCTGTCATTATTTTCCTTCTCATTGCCTTGGATATATATATTAATAAATTTAAGGAGAACAGACAACTTTACAATATTGAATTTGTATCCAAATAATGGCTAGTTCTTTCCATTTGTCCATGACTTCTTTTATATTTCACAGAAAAGATTTTAAAGTTTTTGTCATATAGATCGAAAGTGCTATTGTGAATTAGATATTTTCTTCATTTAGATTCCAAACAGGGTATAACTTTAAAAAAATTTAGTGTGGTAAAATATATATAATAAAAACTTTACCATTTTCAGCATTATTAAACGTGTAATTTAACAGCATCAACTACATTCACCATGTTGTGCAACCATCAGCAGTATGTATCTCCAAAAATCTTTCATCACCTCAAACAAAAAATCAGTATTTCTTAAGCAATAACTCCTCATTTAAACAGGGTATTACTTTTAATGGGATGCTATAATTTGTTTCTGAACTATATAAGCAGACATTGAAGTACTTTTTTTTCTAATTACTTTTCAGTTGTGTATCTTGGAAGCATATACATCTATAAGTTCTTCATTATATATGTTTCCTGGAGTATCCCCAAAATACAATTGCAATATTCATATAATTGCAGTAATCTATATATATGCAAATATATATATATAGAGAGAGGGAGATACAATGCTGGAAGTGCTTAAATGTCTATGTCAAGGAAATTGGAAGACGGCTACCTGGCCAACCAACTAGAAGAGATCTATATGCATGTCCATTCCAAAGAAAGATAATTATACAAAATGCAGAAATTATTAAACAATATCATTATTATCACACACTAGCAAAATTTTGCTGAAGATAATTCAAAAACAGCTGCCGCCATACATCAACAGGGAACTGCCGGAAAGTCAAACCATATTTAGAAGAGAATATGGAATGAGACTTCATTGCTGATGTCAGATGGATCTGCACAAAAGCAGAGAATACCAGAAAGATGTTTACCTGTGTTTTATTGTCTGAATGAAGGCATTCGATTGTGTAGATCGTAACAGATTATGGATTACAATATGAAGATGGGAATTCCAGAACACTTAATTGTGCTTGTGTAGAGCTTGAACATGGATCAAAGAGGCACTTCTTCATTCAGAACAAGGGGATATTGCCTGGTTTAGAACTGGAAAAGGTGTGCAGCGTGATTGTCTCCTTTCACCTTACTTATTCAGTCTGTATGCTGAGCAAATAATCCGAGAATCTGGGCTATCTGAAGAATAACGTGGCATAAGATTGGAGGAAGACTCATTAACAACCTATAATATGTAGATGACACAACCTTGCTTGCAGAAAATGAAGACAACTTGAAGCACTTACTGATAAAGATCAAAGACTACATTCTCCAATATGGATTATGCCTGAACATGAAGAATTTGAAAATCCTCACAACTTGACTGATAAGCAGTATCATGAAAAATGGAGAAAAAATTGAAGTTAATGATTTCATTCTACTTGGATTAACAATGAATGTTCCTGGAAGCAGCAGTCAAAAAATCAAATGTCTGACTGCACTGGGCAAATCTGCAGCAAAAGACTTCTTTAAAGTTTTTAAAAGCAAAGATATTTTGTTGACTAAGGTGGGACTGAGCCAAGCCCTGGTCTTTTCAGTCACCTCATATGCATGCAAAACTGAAAAATCAAAAAGGAAAACATAAGAATTAATACATTCAAATTGTGGTGTTGGTGAAGATACTGATTATACTGTAGACTGCCAAAAAGAACAAACAAATTTAATCTTAGAAGAAATAACAACCAGAATGCTCCTTAGAAGCAAGCATGGTGAGACTGTGACTCACTCACTTTGGTCACATCATCAGGAAAGACCAATCACTAGAAAAGGACATCATGTTTAGTAAAGTAGAGGGTTGGCAAAAAGGAGGAAACCCTCAATGAGATAGATTGACACAACAGCCACAGCAATGGACTCAAACGTACCAATGATCATGAAGATGGCACAGAGACAGACAACATTTCATTCTGTTATACATAAGGTCAACATGAATTGGAGCCGATTTGACGCCAGCTAACAACAGTGCTTCTGTATATGCATTAATAAATAGCTCATCTCCAAAATGTTTTGGTTATTCTAGGTCCTTTGCATTTCATGATAAATTTCAAAATTAGTTTGTCAATATTTACAAAAAAAAAAATCTACTGAGATTTTTGTAGGAATTGTGTTGAACTTGGGAGTATGGCATCATAACAAAATTAAATCTTCTAATACATGAACACAATATATCTTTTTTTTATTATTGTGCTTTAGGTGAAAGTTTATGGTGCGAGTTAATTTTTCATACAAAAATTGATACACATATTGCTATGTGACATTAGTTGGCAATCCCTACAATGAGACAGCATACTCCCCCTTTCCACCACAGGTTTCCTGTGTCCATCCAACCAGCTCCTGTCCCTTCCTGCCTTCTCATCCCACCTCTGGACAGGAGCTGCCCATTTGGTCTTGTGTACCTGCTTGAACTAAGAAGTACACTCTTCATGAGTATTATTTTATATTTTATAGTCCAGTCTAATCTTTATCTGAAGAGTGGACTTCGGGAATGGTTTTAGTTCTGGGTTAACAGCACGTCCGGGGGCCATGGCTTCAGGGGTTCCTCCAGTCTCAGTCAGAGCATTAAGTCTGGTCTTTTTATGTGAGTTTGAGTTCTGCTCCACACTTTTCTCCTGCTCTGTCAGGGACTCTCTGTTGTGATGAACACAGTATATCTTTAAATGTATTTATTTTAGTATTTAATTTCTCTCAGCAGTATATATATTTTCCATTCACCTGTTTTACACATACTTTATTTATGCCTACATATTTTTTAATGGGACCTCCATCTAGGAATCAGATATCTAACACATACTTTAAACCACTTCATATCTATATTAGTTTCCTAGGGCTACCGTAGCAATTTACCACTAAGGGAGTAGCTTAAAATAACAAATTTATTCTCTCACAGTTCTGGAAGTCAGAAGTTTGAAATCATGGTGTCAGCAGGGCCACCTGCTCCCAAGGCTCTAGAGGAGAATTATTTGCCTCTTTTAATTTCTGATGACTTACTGGCGTTCCTTGGTTTGTGGCACTGTAATTCCAATTTGTGTCTCTGTGTCTTCTAATTTTCTCTTTTAAGGATACCTATCATTGGATTTAGGACCCACCCTAATCTAGGTTGGTCTCATTTCAAGATCCTTATTTTAATTACATCTGTAAATACTCTTATTTCAAACAAGGTCATATTCTGAAGTTCCAGGTGGATGTATCTCTTTTGGGGGGGCGCCACTGTTCAACTCACTACAATATTATACCATGGGTCATTGAGCCTCTGTCCATTTTTTTTTTTTGCTTTGTGCTCCTGTTTCACTATTTCTATTATTTTAAAGTTTACTGATACTTTCTTCTGAAATTACCAATATGCTGTTAAGCTCATCAAAGCAGTTTTCATTTCAGATATGTTCAGTTCTAGAATTTCAGTTTATTATATTTTTCATTTTTCCTTTTGAGGGTCTCCATTTATTCATTTAATGTGTCCATCTTTTCCCTTAAGTCCTTAAACACGTTTTTAATAGCTATTTTTAAATCCTTGTTTGTTAATCCCAGCATCTGTGTCAGTAATGGGTCTACTTATGTTGACTTTTTTTCAGGTTATGCTCACGTTTTTTGCTTCATATATAAAATTTGATTGTTCACTGTGCATTATGGATAAGAGTCTAGATTCTGCTTTCATCATTAAATTAGTGTTAAATCTTACTCTGTCAGAGAGTCATTTATTAAAAGTTTAATCTGAGCCTATGAAGAGTTGGTTTTAAGTTTGTTAAGTCACATCTAGAGTTTCCATTACTCTGGGGTTAGGGTAGTTCTACTCTTAAGACTTGGCCTTTCTTGAGTCTCAATTGAATATGTGTTCATTAAATTCTCTTCATTTTGGCAGATCAGAACTCCAATATCTCTCTGCGCTATGGAACCCCCAGAAGCTCCATTAATTTCCTTAATTCATTAATTCATAATCTCCCAGTAGCTGTTGTCTGCCAGGCATTGTTGAGTCTTTCCCTGCACAAGTGAAGTTTAAATTTCAGCTAAAGACTTAAGTGGACCTTTATGTATATTTATGGGCTCCTTTGCTGCACAGATACCTCCTCTCTGGTACCCTGCCCCACAAATTTTACTTCTCTAAAGAGTGTTAAAAAGCAAAGATGTGTCACTTTGAGGACTAAAGTATGCCTGACCAATCCATGATATTTTCAGTCATCTCCTATGTATGTGAAAGCTGGACAATGAATAAAGAAGACCAAAGAAGAATTGATGTCTTTACATTATGGTGTTGGCTAAGAATATTAAATATACTATGGACTGCCAGAAAGGCAAACAAATCTGTCTTGGAAGTAGTACAGCTGGAATGCTTCTTAGAGGCGAGGATGGCGAGACTTCGTCTCAGGTAATTTGGACATGTTGTGAGGAGGGACCAGTCCCTGGAGAAAGACACCATGCTTGGCAGAGGGTGAGAGAAAAAGAGGAAGACCCTCAAGGAGATGGATTGACACAGTGGCTGCAACAATGGACTCAGCATGCCAACGATTATGATGATGGCGCAAGACCAGGCAGTGTTTCATTCTGTTGTACATGGGGTCTCTGTGAGTTGGAACTGACTCAGCAGCACCAAATAACAACAACAAAGGAGTCCCAAACTCCCATCTTCATTTCCTGAACCTGACAACACTGCTACTCTCTCTTTGGGCTCTACTCTCTGGTTTTGCAATTGGAAAAGTGCTCACAGGCAGAAATCTGGAGAAATAAAGAGATCACCTGTGTGTTTACCTTCTCTCAGGGATCACAGTCCTGTGTTGTCTGTTATCCAGTGGCTGAAAACGTTTGCTGTATACATTTTATCCTGTTCTATCATTTTTTAAGTGGGAGAATAAGTGCAACGCTCATTATTCTGTCATGGCTGATACTGCAAGTTCCTTCTGTCATTCACTTTTGTTCCCTCACTATGTGGTTGATGAATTAATTAATAACGTTCAGCACATATTCCATTTTTATCTCTCCAAGTGGTAGTTGCATTATCTGATCATTATAAAATAATGGATATAGAAATTAAAAATCAGAATGAAAGCTTTTTATAAGTGTGATATTAAATGCCACGAAAGTCAGAGTATGGTGGTAGTTCAGTGTCATTCAGGTGGCATAGAATGAATGAAGAATTGTTGAATATTCTTTTAGCTCTCATTGGTTAAACAGTATGTATTTCTCTATGCAGGTCACATACTCTTATAGTACATTTTTTTTAAGATCAGAATGTTTGTAAGAATCCAACAAAACTGGTTTTTATTTCATTGAAACAAAAGTAATTGATCTGTTCCTTTGTGTGTTTTAGAAAGGGATCTAACTAAATAACGCAGTCAGTAATAATTAAATATTTCATATATTTTAACTGAAAATTAATATTTCTCCTATTCAGCTAGCAAGCAAATTCTTTTTACTCATACTCCCTCCAAGAAAGAGCAAGAATCATGTATGAAGAAGAAATCGGCCATAGGAAGTCAGAAATCCTATAAGAGTAGACCTGCAAGTGCAGTAATAGACATTGGTCCGTCTATTGTGGATGATGAAATTGTCAATATGCCCACTATAGATGAAAATCCTAGCACACCACAGCAGGTATGTTTACATTTAAAGGAAATATGCAATTATATTGTTTTTAAAATGTAACATAAAATAAACTAATCCTCTTACCAAAAATTGTCAATGTATAATACTTTCTGTATTCATTGCCACAAGTGTAAAGACAGAATTGAAGAATAAGACATTATTGAACAAATTTTCTGTGCCAAGAACTTCATATATATATAAATAAAATAAATTTAATCTGCACACTGACCCTATAATGTAGATGTCATTGTCTTATTTTACGTATGAGTTATATGATGTATATAACCTTGAAAAGGTTACATATTATTAAAACTTGATGTGTTTGAGCCTTTGGTTAAAGAATAAAAGGACAAAAATACAATGCACATATTTTGAAACAGATGAAAATGTGGTATATTCATTGGAAAGCAAAAAAAAAAAATTGAAAAGAAAATAGATGGTAGAATTAATTCCTAATATAATAGTAATTACAATGAAGACAAATTGAGTTATCAATTTAAAAGCTAAAACTTTCAGGGTACGTTAAAAAAAAAAAAGATCCAACCATATGGAGTGTAAAAGTGCTGCTTTTAAAGAAAATGGTACAGAAAGTTTGAATATAAAATGATGGAAAGGCATACATGGCACGTAGTAGCCTAGAGAGAAATATGAAAATAATCTTAGTATCTCAACACATAGAATACATGAGGGATATTATATAAAAATAAAAATAAAACAAAAACCATTGCCATCGAATTGATTCCAATTCATAGCGACTATATATGACAAAGTAGAACTGCCCCATAGGGTTTCCAAGGAGCGACTGGTAGATTCGAACTGCCAACCTTTTGGTTAGCAGCCATAGCTCTTATCTGATTAAATCCAGTAGATATGACCATCACTAACATATAGGCACCTGACTACCCAGCCTCAATAAATAAAAAGCAAAAACTATTAAGACAGAAAAATAGATGTCAACAATTTTAGTTCAGGAATTTAACATATGCCTCTCAGAAACTGATAGAGCAAGCCAAAAAACAAAACGGAAGTATAATCATGAGGATTTGAAAAATGAAAGTATAGGCTTCATTCTTTAGATACCTTTATAGAACTCTTCACCTAATAACAGAGAATATGCTTCTTTTTTTAGAACACAGTATATTTGCAAATTATACATCAGGTATTAGGCAATACATGAACTAACAATAAAATCCAAACTATCCATATTGTATAGATTATGTCGTATAAACATAATGCAATAAAATAGAAATTAATAACTAACAGCATAAAATTCTATAAATTTGGAAACTAAATAGTATATTTTAAACTATCCTTTAGTTAAAAAGACCATCAAAAAAGAAATCACAAAATTTGTGGTTCAGTAAAAATAAAAATATATATAAATCAAAATTTGTAAAAAATAAAAATCTTAAGTAACATTTAGTGATATATTTAATTTTAAATTAACTCATGAGGGAGCATGAATGATTAAAAACAAATGAGTTGAGGTATTCAAACAACAGTGTAACTCAAAGAAAAAGGTGGAAAGATTTTAATATAGATGAGGGTAGAAATCAATGAAATGGATAACAAAAAATAAGGAAGATTCACTCTAAGCTAATTTAAAAAAAAATAAGTAGTCATACTTCTTATAAGATAAATACAGGGGAAAAAAAGGAGAAAAGATATAAATGAGACAAATACAAAACAAGAATAAAAGAGGAATAACTACAGACAACAGATAAAAAAATATATTTTTAAGAGTATTATAAACAACTTTATGCTAAAAATTTAAAACCTAGGGAAAAACTGGGTAAGCTCCTAGGGAAAATATTGGCAAAACTATTCACAAGAAAATAGAAGACTTGAATACAACATAAACAATCATAAAGTTAAAATATTAGCAAATTTTCCCTTTCCAAAAAGTCACAGATCCAACTGGCTTTACAGAATAGGCCTCACAGACTTTCAAGGAGGAAATTGTTCTAGAACCTAGAAAAAGAAAGAAACTCACAACCATTTTTAATAAGTTAATATAATCCTGATTCCAAAGCCAGATAAGAACAATTCAAGAAAAGAAAATTATATGGCCGTTTCATTTATCAATATAGATGCAAAAATTCTAAACAACATAATAGCCAACTCTAGCAGTATATTTAGTGATCACATAGAGTTTAATCTCAGGAATCCAGAGGTAGTTGTCATCAGAAAGTCTATGAAAGTGTGTCTACCATGTAATAGATCAGAGGTGAGAACCATATAACCCTGAAGCATCTGACAAAGTTCAACGCCTATTTATGAACGTTTAAAGGGTACTCAGTAAATTAGGCATAGACGGCAGTTTAATTGAGAATGTTATATACCAAAAATCTTAAACTTAATACAGAAATATTATATGCAAAACATTTATATTAATGTATATGTAAATTATAGTAATAAATACATTGGTATATAAATGTGAGATTATATTATGTAGAAAATTCCCATTAAAATTGAGAGTAAGAAAATAATACCCATTAGCATTGTTAGTATTTAATGGTACTGGAGGAGCATGATGGGAGCACTAGTGGCGGAGTGGTTAAGAGCTTGGCTGCTAAACAAGAGGTCTGCAGTTGGAATCCACCAGCCACTCCTTGGAAATCCTGTGGGCCAGTTCTACTCTGCCCTATAGGGTTGCTATGAGTCGGAATCGATTTGAGAGCAGTGGGTTTGTTTTTTGGGGGTTTAGAGCATGATGGGTCCAATTATACAAGGAACAAAATGAAATAAGATGTTTTTCAAATATTCATTGAGTTATTTACAGATAATATGATTCGTATACCCAAGGACCCTAGAGCACAGAGAGTTTAAGTAACTTTTACTTATGGCTGCACAGAGGGTATGTACTAAAGCAGGATTTGACCCTAGATATTTCTGGCTCATGAGGCCTTGCTGTTACCACTGTACTATGCTACTACAATTTACAAAAGTCAGTAGCCTCCTACCACAGCACTAATGGATTAGAAAATAAAATATGATACCTGTCATAATAACAACAAAAACACACGATGCCTGTCATAATAGCAACAAACTTGTAAAAATATCTAGGAATTAACCAGAAATACACAAGTTGTCTACACAGAAAATCTTAATACTACAGTAAAGGACAGAGAAGGAAATGTGACTAACCAAAGAACACAAACAGTTTGAATAAATGAGCTAGCATATTATTATGAAGACATCAGTGATCCTCCATATTAATTTTTAAAATCAATACAATCCCAATGAAGATTTCTACTGTATTTTTCAGAAATGTTCTAAATTTCATGTTGTTGATGTTAGGTGCCTTAGGGTTGGTTCCAACTCATAGGGACCCTTTATACAACCAAATGAAACATTGCAAAGTCCTGTGCCATCCTCAGAATCCTTGTTATGCTTGAGGGCATATTTGCAGCTGATGTGTCAGTCCTTCTCGTTGAGGGTTTTGCTCTTTTTGACTGACCCTCTACTTTACCAAGCATGATGTCCTTCTCCAGGGACTGGTCCCTCCTGATAACGTGTCCAAAATACGTGAGACATAGTTTCGCCATCCTTGCTTCTAAGGAGCATTCTGGCTGTACTTCTTCCAAGACAGATTTGTCCATTCTTTTGGCAGTCCATGGTGTATTCAATATTCTTCTCCAGCTCCATGATTCAAAGGCATCAATTCTTACTCCGTCTTCCTTATTCATTGTCCAGCTTTCACATGCATATGAGGCAATTGAAAACAAAATGGATTGTGTCAGGTGCAGCTTAGTCTTCAAGGTGACATCTTTGCTTTTTAACACTTTAAAGAGGTCTTTTGCAGCAGATTTGCCCAATGTAATGTGTCCTTTGATTTCTTGACTGATGCTTCCATGGGTGTTGATTGTGGATCCAAGTAAAATGAAATCCTTGACAACTTCAATCTCTACTCCATTTATCATGATGTTGCTTATTGGTCCAGTTGT